TTGTTGATTCATCTGTTTCTCCCCACTGTTGTTTTATACACTTAAAGGCAACGTTGTTAGATGCATAAATGTTCACAATCATTGTATTTTCTTGATCTACTGTTCTTTTTATCAGTATGTAACACTGCTCTCTGTGCTTTATAACTTCTTTGCTCAGTCAGTTAAGCATATGACTCTTGATTTCAGCTCAGGTCACAATCTCAGGGTCATGAGATCGAGCCCCATGTGGGGCTCCACACTCAGGATGGAGTCTGTTTGTCCCTCCTCCTCTGCTCCACACCTCCCCACCCACTCACACTCGCTCTCTTAAAAAAAAAAAAAAGATAATTTAATTAGTGGTGCCTAGGTGGCTCAGTCGGTTAAGTGTTTGACTCTTGATCTCAGTTCAGGTCTTGCTCTCTGGGTCATGATTTCAAGCCCCTCCTTGTAGTCCACACTGGGCATAGAGTCTACTTTTAAATTAATTAATTAATTAACTAATGTTAAAATAAATCAGATTGGGAAGACATATTTTCTTGATACACCTTTTATTTTTAAAATTTTTTTCTATTATTTTTAATTCTGCTATTTTTTTGTCTTATGCTTAACTCTTATTGACAATATATTCTGTATCTTGTTTTTTAATCCAATTGAGGTTTGTATTTTAATCTAAGTTTAACTTATTTGCATATATTGCCTTTCCCATTATTCATATCATTTTGGCCAACATTTTTCATGGTGTCTACATAACTCTTATTTTTCCCCACCCCCTCCCCTATTTTTTTCTATTCTCCACTAGATAAATTGAGTTTTATACTTAAGATTTGAAGCTTATACATTGTTTTATTCCCCTAGCATATTATCAGCCATACTTACACTTATATTTTCCTGTCATTTTCTTAAGCTTATCATTATCTGCATCTCCTCAAGTAAGACACTGCCCCATCCACCACTATGAACAGTGCCAACTCACCATTCGGAGCTGGGGGAATGGTGGTGGTGGGCAGGAAGCCCCCAAATCTGAGAGCCTCTAGTGTAGTAATATATATCTCTACTCTGCCAACACTCTTTTTCTGAGGTGATCTTCTACTCAGGTAGAGGTAATGTGGAGGAGAAGGGGGCACTCAGAAGCTAATCAGGCTACCTTCACAAGCTGGCTTGAACACCACACCAATGTTACACTACAGCACCTGCCCCCACCACTACCCCATGACTCGTAACAGGCTAAGCACTGCTCAGAGTGGTGATGGAGCAATGATCCACCTAGAACAATAAAAGAGAAACAGTATTTGAAAAATAACCCAAACCACCTCATGACGCCAAATCCTCTTTTATTCTGAGAAGTTGTTTCATATATACACATATATTCAGATTCCTCACAGGGAAGCATTATAGCATTATGAACAAGAACATAAGCTTTGGAGTTTCAACTGATCAAATTCTGAATCCCAGGTAATCACTCAACAACTCATGTAACTTCAATCTCTCCAAGCTTCAGTGTGCCCATCTTTAAAATGTTATGACAATTCTTATTTCTTAGAAGATTACTGCAAGGATTAACTGAGAAAATGAAAGAAAGTACACATCCCTGCATGACACAGAGAAAGCATCCAATATCAGGTATTATCGATTATGTTTTATGCATTATGGAAAGACTAGATCTCTAAAATGCACTTTGGTCCTAAGGACGTATTGCTAATTCTAACTGTGCTGAGGAAGTCAAAGCTCCAGCTTGAAGAGCACAGCATACTGGGGCATTGGGTTGGGAATGTAAGTAAAAGGTGCATGCTCCAGTGCACCTACAGCCAAGCTCTAGTGCCTAAATATCCTAGATCCATGGCAGTTCTTTACCTTGTGCTGGATCAGCTATGAAAGAAGAACCACTTCCTACAAACTGTTCGTAAGATATAGATGACAGTATTCACCTATAATAAAACAGAATTCTAAAATTCAATGTCCTGGAGAAGAAAAAATTGTACTACTTTGAGGCAGTAAGGTGTGCATTATTTTAATTTATTGACAATATCAGCTCTGCACATTGAGAACTCAAACAAAAAATAAATTCATTGGTAGGTCCACAGTATGTCATCAAGACTTCGAAACAAGAAAATGGGCATAAAATAGAAAATTTCCTGAAAATACTGTAACCAATACTGAAAGTTCTGGGGTACTAGTGAGATTGGCCCTAAGTGCCAACCAAAAGTCATATGCGAATTAAAAGCTTCACATAACTCCCACAAGGAAAGCAAAAACAAAACAAAACAAAAATACTTATCTTGCCTAATCCATACTATTAATCTGAGGATCACATAAAACAGCAGAGATCAAATAAAATACAAGTGCTTATAAACTGTAAGGTAAGTAAAAGAATTTGAAACCCATTGATATTTAATATTTCCCTCTAAATTCAGATAAGAGCTACGTAATTAAACATCTGTTCTAACCACAACAACCATAGGAAGTTGGTACTTACAAATGAAGAAATGAAGGATTAAAGAGGTAAAGTAATTCATCCAAGGTCACATAACTAATAAACATAGATAACTGCATTCAAATTTAGGTCTGACTCCAAAGCCCATGCTTTTAACCACTATGGTACTAATCCAGACCACCTCTGTGAAGATCAACAGATTAAAGAGATGTTCATAAAATAGGAGCAATTCCAGAAATACTATATATTGTACACTGCCCAATACAAAAGGGCCTCATTCCCTGGACCACGAACAAGAAGAAAATCAGGTCTTTTCCCACATCCCATTTTTCCTTAAAGGATTTTTAAAAACTCCTTGATCCATGCTCTTTCTCATACATGCTTAATTTAGCAATGTGAGAGATCAAAGTCTAGGAGAGCTGGAGAGATGAGGACAATTATCAGTTAAGAGCAAATTATAAAAATATGTGAGAATTTTCATAGAGCTGGTTCAAACTGCCTTTTATTGGGCTCTAACATGAGAAAGTTGTTTTGGAAAAAGTGACCCCAGTCAAATGTCACCAGAGTAATTTGAGGGAAAAAAGCACATACTAATAAATCACCATATCACATTCATATAATTATCCTATACTCAAAAGATTGTTGGCTTTTACAGTGTTACCTTTTTAGGATGAGATGGTCATATTTGAGCAGTTGTCCTAGTGACTTATAGGGGTAATCACTGAAACTCAGTTACTCCCACGTGGCTAAAAACAAATAAGAACCATTCAAGAATGACCACAAATACAGTCTTTACTCTTTATGGTACAAGAAATCAATCACAAGCCCATCTGTGTGAGACCTAGCGAATAAGAACACTATTTGAGAGGGGTACAAAGAAAAGGATGGATTGCCAAGAGGAAAAAAGTCGTTTATTAGACTGTGACAAGCTTTTAAATGTTTGCATTATCATTAACCAACTGCCTGATTCTCTGAGTCACACACCTGCCACCTCTAGCCAACGCCATCAGTCCTAAACTTGGAAGTAGGCTCACCTCCAAAACACTGGCACCCTCTTCTGACCCTTCTGTAGTACTGCATGCACACCAGCGACGGGCAAAAAACTCTAATAAAGGCGTAAGTTAGTAACTTTGCAGGTAACAGTTTCCAGATAATTTTATATTTGCAATTCCCTGGATGAACATAAGACTAGTTGAATAAAAATATGAAAGAGCAGATCTTCTAAATAAAATATATGCCAATGAAAAGAAAACCAACTGTGTTCTCTTAATACTTTTCAGTTTATATACATCAATAGCTACAGTGATGACAATAACAAAAGCTTTACTGTGTCCAATAAGCCAGTTTAATCCTAACAACAACCCGATGAGGCAGACACTCCTACTCTCTTCATCTTACAGAGGGAGGGAAAGTGAGGCACAGTGAAGTTAAATAACATGCCCAGGATCACATAACCTGGTAGTAAGTGGTAAAGCTGAATTTCAAATTCAGTAACTATGACCCCAGAGCCAAAACCTAAGTTTTATCTAAAATATCTCTGCGAGGTAGAATGAGATTGCTATCCTGATAATAGATTGACAGAAAAAGTCTGAGTTGTAAGGAAAATTACCAATACATCATCCAAATCTCTCATTTTCAACAAAGTCCCAAACTGTACAAAAACAAAATATTACATGAAAGAGTTTTGATCATTTCCCCATTCCTCCTCACTTGAAGATTCTCATCTTCTGGGTCTATAATGTTTTTATGCATTCTTTTTACTTCTCATTCCTCTTTTCCATCCAAGTATGCCCTTACTTACCCATCTGGTTCTTTAAAAGAAAAGATTAAAAAAAAAAAAAAACTAATCCACGTTGTATGCTTTGTTTTTTTCTTCTATAAAGCAGAACTGTTTACCTATTTCTACCTAAGTTCCCTATTTCACTAGACCTTTAAAAAAATATATAAGGCAATAAATCCAAATAGCATCATCAATTCCTTCTCTTTGATCATTACAAATATGATAGATTCTCAACTGTATGGAATTATTTAGGGTATTCCTACCTATAATCAGGGCTGACAGGCTATTTCTAAAAATACCAACTTCATTTTCAAACAGGATATGAAGGCACACTGTCTCATGATCTGTAGTCCAAAGATCTACTAAGAAAATTTCTAGATTCTGCAGTTTGCCTACATAAAGCTAGACATAATATCAAAAATTAAGAACACTTAATAATCTAAACACAAGGTAACCAAGCTCACTGCCATTCATGACTAGAAGATTCATCATGGGTGAGAACAAAAGATTCATTTGGATTTCTTTTTTATAACTATCTTTACAACATTTCATAATGTCAAAGTATACTTAGAAGTACAAACTTAGGGAACGTTCAAAGAATTAAAAGCATACATAAACTGCACCAGATTTGTTAGATCTAAGAACTGAACCAAGACAGTTATAGTTTTAGTACGGTATGATCACACTGCTAAAGAATTATTCATTACATTATTCATATCTCTTGAATCCAAGTATACAAAAACAGCACAGGCGATACACGTGAAAAGGTGCAAGGAAGTGACTCCCTGCCAATACCAGAATTCTTCTCACCTCGGTCTGCAGGATGGCAGCCCGTTGTTCTTTAGCAGTCAAGGACTCCTTCAGCACTTCAATGTGTTGCTTACTGTCCGAGAACTGGTTTGTGAGTGTTTCTAGCTTTGTCTGTAGGGCTAGTAGTTCTGTGTCCTTTCTGGACAGCTCCTGCTTCACCTGACCAATCTAGAGAAGAAAATAAAACACTGTAAGGAAAAAAGAAATGAAACAATCACCTCTGATCTGATCTTTGACAGATCCGAGTCAAAAAATATGAAACTAAATATAGCATTAGTTTTATGACAAAACATAATTCATCTTATTCCATCATCAAATCTTGGATGACCACCCAGCCTCCCCCCCCAATAGGGAAATTCCAGGTTTCATGTACTGTGTCTCCTAAACACTCTTCAAAATCCCTTAGAAAAAGAATAGAGGGAGAAAAATCCCAATTCAATTAGATTACTGTGAGATGACAGGAAGCATCTGAATACCACTGTGCTGATCAAACAGTTTTCATTTTATTAAGTCAGACCTCTTAAAACATAAAGCAGGATTAGTGTAGATGTAAAACAGAAGGGAAAAAGAAAACCTCCTAGTATTGCTATTTAAAGTTAAATTCAAAAGCTGCTGCTGGTATACTGTTTATTTTTTCATTCACAAACAAAAGTTTACATAAAATCCTTATCTTAAAAAGCTACCTTTTGTGTTATGAGGCATTATAAACCCGTGCCTCTTAGAAATCATGTAATTTTGATGAGTTAGGGATACTGACCTTAAAAAAGATTCCACCTACAAAGTTATATCATCTACAACATCATACCAACTAAATGGATAAAAAAGTATATGACTTAAATGCATAAAGGCTCATTCTGTAAGAATCGACATGTGTAATTTGAATCTGAATTACTGACAGAGTAATCCATAAGAGGTGCCATTCATTCTCCCATAAATTTCTATCATCTTAACTTAAAAAAAAATTTATTTCAAACATCTCATTTACATTTCTACTGTGTTTCTAAGCATTTTCTAAATAGTCTCTTATTCTAAATGTGCACCAAATAAAAATCAGATTTGCTTTTACATTCTATTCTGTAACCTGCCTAGCAAGGTAGCTGTGCACTAACAGATTAATTATTGGAAGTATAAATCTGACTGACAAGTCAGTAATTTCAGTATTACTGATGAAAGTTCTTTGTATTCTTTTCATTGAATGTATCTATAGTATTTTTACTATAATAATCTTAGGTATAAGGGACAATTTTAAGAACAATTTCCCATGAGGAAGTATGAAATAAATATTACTTTAGTTAAAATTAGACTTTTAAGGAGTGCTAAAAATAAATGTCTCATTTACTCTTCTTGTTTAGCAAGAAGACAAGCATTTTCCTCATATGCATAAAAATTCTATTTGCAGATTTAGTTATTCATTCATTCCACAAATATTTCTATATGCAAACTGTATGCAAACTACTTGAGGATACTGAGAACATCAATGGAATATGACTGTAAATGGCAGCTATCTTCATCATGTAATATAAATATATACCCTGGAGTTACCACATACTGTAATGTGGCATCTTTCATGACATCCCTTTTCCAATAAAAAGTACATATTTATATTATTCCATCCTTAACATACAGGCTGCTCTAAAATCTGTTGTATGAATGAATATTCAGGAGAAATGTTTAAAATGTTATCACTTCCTCAACTAAAGAAGTACTACGGTTTAAAGATTACCTCCAATCACATGGTTAAAAATAAGTATAAAATCCCTATTTCCTCATCATCTACTTTATTAAAGAATCATCAAATACTAGTATATTGACCATAAAGACTGAGAAAGGGACAAAAATATTCTAAATGGAAAGCAGAGTTGAGAAGCACACATTTTCCATAAAAGTTAGGAGCACGAGGCTTTGCAGTCACTCACACCTGAGGATAAGTGTGTCTTTGAGTATTTACTTCTCTAAGCCTTGGTTTCCTGATCAGTAAAATGGAGAAAGTAAACCATCGCTACTGTACTATTTGGAGATTAAATAAAATAATGTATGGAATGTGTTTAGCCTGTTGTCTGACACAACAAAGAAATATATATAATAGCTAAGAAAAAAAAAGTAAAGTTATACATCAACTACTCCTCTAGAAAATACACAGTTACCATAAACCAAATCAGTCCCTTTTAGAAAAAATATTTCACTTTACTACCTGTACCATAAAGGGGTCCATAAATAGCAAAAACATCAAATTAGCACAAGTTTGTGTTTTTTTTTAATGCTGCATTCCTGTCTTATCCCACAATCATGTTCAGAAGCAGTTTTTCCTGACACTGGTATGACATACGTGCACAGGGCGGAGTACAGGGCAGAAGACAGAAGGGCTCACCGGCACGGGCTCTGGAACCAGACTGCTTGTGTAAAAATCAAGCTCTGCCTCTCACCAGATACTTCACCTGAGCACCACTTGGCTACCTAAGTTTCCACATCTATAAATTGGGGTTGGGTGATATACCAACCTTAGCAGGTTATAAGTGCTTGAGTGTTAACTATTTTATTATTTTTGTATTATATTTTGAAATGGAATTTTAAGTTCTTTAGACAGAAGATTAAACTAGATTTAGAGACTTTATGTTTCAGGCTAATTCTAATTTACTAGATAACTCTAAATAAGCAAATCACTTTCTACACATCTGTTCTAAAAAAAGGAACATTTGTTGGAAAATCACCTAATGGAGACTTAAAGATAATACATATGAAGTTAAAGCTCTTTACTCAAGAATTTCAAATTCTAAGAGAGTCCATCTTAGAAGTTTTCATCAAAAGAAAAAAAGAAATTTTGTAACTATGGTGATGGACGTTAACTAGACTTACTGTGAAGATCATTTTAATATATATATATCTCAAATCATTATGTTGCAAATCTGAAACTAATACATAATTATAAATCAATTATACCTTACTTTAAAAAGAAAAAGAATTTCAAATTCAAATAATCACTAGAACAGAGAACATCTGCATATTCTTATACCAAAGAAGAAACAGAGCTCACCATTCATATAAATCAACAAGTATCTACAAAAGGAAAGGAAAAAAACACGCTTGGAAGTACCATCCATACAGTGACAAAAGCAACAATAAAGAACCAGAACAAGTGAGGGCTCACTGCACACAAAGTGACATATGGGTCAAACTGGTGAACAGGAGTCGGTTAAAGAGCAGAGCAGGCTGGTTAGTGCTAGTATTGGGCAAAGCTGCCAACCAGAAAACGAAAGTATAAGCCACCCAGAAGCCAGAGCTAGCAGGGTCCCACTGTGGGATCGCTGCACACAAAGAGTAAATCTTACGGCAAAGACCTCAGCCTGAAGACCAGCCGCTCTCTTTTTCAGCTCCTCCCCTTGAGCCTCTTTCGAACTTAGTTCCTCCTTCAGTTGCTCTACCTGTCACGACATTGTTATTCTTTTTCACTTATGTGTCAATTTAGGTCTTATTATTTGCTTTTCAGCCAGAGCAGTAACTGGAAATAACAATAACCTATATAACACAATCAAATCTGTTCCCCTAATTCCCTCTTCAAAGCACCCTAGATAGTTTCTCTATTTTCACAGGGGTTTCTTAATGGACGTAAATGTGCCAATCAACAAATGGAAAGCAGTTATATTATAGTGTATTTTCCTCTCAAATTAGGGTGAAAAATACAAACTAATAGAAACTTGAATATATGAATTTTTAAGTTCTAAAACTGACATAAATTTTCAGTAGTCACTGATAACAGATTCTTAAAATAATAAAGGAATATTCTACTGACTTTTATGCCAGGTATGAGTCCACAGCAAGAAGATAGAAACTGGAGAGGGAGTTAGAATTGTGTATCATTCCTCTACAGTTTTCTGTTCTGAGAAACTGGGAAACTAATACAATTGGGATATGAAGGGTACTTATTTTCTAGCTAATATTTTATAATCACAATTATGATTTTTAATTAAATCAAAACAAACTTGGCAAATTGATAACTATAATAAACTAGATCCTCCAATTTGCCTAAATAGTTTATAGAATCAAACTAGATGGCTGTGGACCTAAGGAAAAAATATTGTGACTGAGTTTCTAAATATGGACTGACATGCCATGCTGATACGAATCTTGAGGTGCACACCGGAAACAATAAACCTGATACAAATGCATCTTCTCCAAGGGATAGAGCAAAGGGTTTTTCTTTATGGAACTGTATTTGAAGGGAAAATAGGATATTATTTAAGCCATTTCAGAAAAAAAAAAAGTGGGGGAACTGGGTTCAGCCTCGTAGGGTTTTGACTTTTACAATACTACACAAGAGTTAAAGAACTTGGTGTCTCATGGAGTGAGAAAAACTCAATTTGGATATAATTCTACTAAATCACCTCAGAAGTACTGATAGATATAAATCTTAAACTGTGACAACACATATCAGCCTTTCTTTTAAAAGTGAAAACTTGAAATAACGATACATCAGTAATTCTGACTTTAGTTCTGGGAAAGTTGCATTTGAAAGAATTCTAAGTATCCTTCCTGAAGTCTGATAAAACAATGTGAAGTTCTTCATCGTCACTAAGGAAATAGAAATATGCATCAATTTCTCAAAACTCTTTTAAAAATTACAGTATCACACACCATTACCTTATTTTTCATAAATTTAGAATGGCTCCGATAGACCTCCATTTGTTTCATTTCTTCTTCCCGTTCTTCAGTACTCAAGGCCCCATTTGATTTCAGCATCTGAATTTCCTCTTCCAAGTCTCGGAGCCCACGCTCCATAGAGGAAATTTTTGAATCCTGAAGATAATGGTAGATAAAGACATTAAAGTATTCACAAAGAATCAGAGAAGTTGAAAAACTCAGTCTTTACAGATGGTGAATTTAATAAAGATAAATATGCAGGAAAACTGCTGTCTAGCATTTGGTGCCTTGCTTCTAAATTATATGCTTTATGGCCACTTGGGTGAAAGGAGGACAGTTCATATCTAGAATATGATTTTCCTCTGTCTCTTCCTCAAGTCCGCACCCTCTCATTTAAAGTTGAGAGAATTATCTTTAAAAAATAGTAGAAGAGGGGCGCCCGGGTGGCTCAGTCGTTAAGTGCCTGCCTTCGGCTCAGGTTATGATCCCAAGGTCCTGGGATCGAGCCCCACATCAGGCTCCCCACTCCGTGGGAAGCCTGCTTCTCCCTCTCCCACTCTGCCGGCTTGTGTTCCCTCTCTCGCTGTGTCTCCCTCTGTCAAATAAATAAAATCTTAAAAAACAAAAAAAAAAGTAGAAGCAATGGAAAGCTAGTTAAAGTTTCTTTGTACTTCATGGTCAACAAATTTCTAGGGAAAAATTTTGTAATATTAACAGAGAAACCATTCCTAGTGACTCTATCATTCTACTGTGATCCCTAAAAGGTTTATTTCTGCTCCCAAAGGAGAAAAAGAGTAAAAGTGTTTCAAAGACTTATGCAATAATGTGTGTAACTATATTTGCAATAATAAAGATTTTATAGCATCCCATTGTAAAAATAACAAAGGGATGAATAATTATGCTAACAATTAGTTTATCATACTACTTATTTTCTAGTTCTCTACATTTTAAGTATTTTGTAATAATTTTTTTTAAAAATCACTGTCCTTATAAATCATCATCTCCACAAATATCACCTCCCAGTAGAACATTCCTCTATGTTCAATTTCTTGGTTTTGCTTGTCACAGTATCTAATTTATCCCCTAGTTTACTTTAGATGTTATCAATTGCAGAAAGATCACTTTAGATGTCAATTACAGAAAAATTCCTACATGAAATGAAAATTTTATATCTAAAGTTGTATATGTTTATTCACCTAAGAAATAAAGTAGAAGCATTAATTAAGTATAGTTTTATTTTATTTGGAACTTCAGAGAAACCAGTCCTTTAGAAAGTAATTTTGAAATTACTTCCCTTTGCACTTTATCTCAAAGATTTCTTGATTGACATTCCTTGCTATCATAATTCTTAGAGCATGCAGATAAAAGTTAAAGGATTTATCATGAGACAAATACCACTAGCAATTTTTAGGTTCAGGGGAGAGAAGGGGGATGTACTCCTTGTCCTGCATTGTGTTACCTTTAAAAATATAACAACAAAAACTTTCTTTTAGAAATCTACTCAAATTAAACTTATATTTAGTTCAAAATTAAATGCAATGCAATCAAGAGATACACTAAACCTAAATTCTGAAATTGGTGGGTGCATCCCATTTCTACCACAGCCTAAAAAAAAAAAAAAATAGTGAGCCACAATTAATCTCCTGGCCCATAAAAAATAAATACAAGCATAACTTGAAGGTATTGTGGGCTCACCTGCAGACCACTGCATTTAAGTAAATACCACAATAAAGCAAGTCAAATACATTTTTTGGTTTCCCACTGTACATAAAAGTTATGTTTATATGGTCTATTAAGTATATAATAACATTATGGAAAAAATGTACATACCTTAATTTAAAAAATAATTTATTGCTACAAAATACTATCATCTGAGCTTTCAGCAAATCATAATCTTTTTGCTGGTGGAGGGACTTGCCTACATGTTGATAGGTACTGACTGGTCAAGGTGGTGGCTGCTGAATTTAGAGTTACTGTGGCAATTTCTTTCTTTCTTTTTTTTTTTTTTAAGATTTTATTTATTTACTTGACAGAGAGACATAGCGAGAGAGGAACACAGCAGGGGGGAGTTGGAGAGGGAGAAGCAGGCTCCCAGCCTGAGCAGGGAGCCCAATGCAGGGCTCGATCCCAGGTCCCCAGGACCACGACCTGAGCTGAAGGCAGACGCCTAACGACTGAGACACCCAGGCACCCCGACTGTAGCAATTTCTTAAAATAAGTCAACAAAGAGGTTTGCTGCATCGATTAACTTTTCCTTTCATGAACAATTTCTCTATAGCATGTGATACTGTCTGACAGCATTTTACCCACAGAACTTCTTTCAAAACTAGAATCAATCCTCTCAAACCTTGCTGCTGCTTTATCAACTAAGATTACATAATATACTAAATCCTTGGTTGTCATTTCAACAACTTTCACGGCATCTTCACCAGGAGTAGATTCCATCTTAAGAAACCACTTTTTTTTGCTCACCCATAAGAAACTCCTCATCTGTTCAAGTTTTAGCATAAGATTCAAGAAATTCAGTCACACCTTCAGGCTCCACTTCTAATTCTAGTTTTCTTGCTATTTCTGCCACATCTGCAGCTCTTCCCCTGCTGAAGTCCTGAACCCCTCAAAATCATCCAGGAGGGCTGGAGTCAACTTCTTCCAAACTCCTATTCAGGTTGATATTTTTACCCCTTCCCATGAATCACAAATGTTCTTACTGGCATCTGGAATGGTGAATCCCTTCCAGAAGGTTTTTTATTTACTTGGGTCCAAATCCTTTAGGAGAATCACTATCTATGGCAGCTATAGCCTTACGAATGCATTTCTTAAATAATAATACCTGGAAATCAAAATGACTCCCTTGATCCATGGGTTGCCAAATGAATGTTTTGTTAGTAGGCATGAAAACAACAATAATCTCTTTGTCCATCTCCATCAGAGCTCTTCAGTGAGCAGGTGCATTGTCAATAAACAGCCATATTTTGAAAAGAACCTCTTTTTCTCTGTAGTAGGTCCCAACAGTGGGCTTAAAATATTCAGTAATGTTGTGAACAGATGAGCTGCCATCTAGGCTTTGTTTACAGAGCACAGGCAGAGCAGACTCAGCATAATTCTGAAGGCCCCAGGATTTTTGGAATGGTAAATGAGCACTGGCTTCAACTTAAAGTCACCAGCTGCATTAGCCTCTAACAAGAAGCTCTGAAGCCAGGCACTGACTTCTCCTCTAGCTATGAAAGTCCTAGATGGCATCTTCTTCCAATAGAAAACTGTTTCATCTACATTGAAAATCTGTTCTTTAGTGGCGCCACCTTCATCAGTGATCTTACTAGGTCTTCTGGGTAACTTGCTGCAGCTTTTCCCTCCGTACCTGCTGTTTTACCTTGCACTTTTATGTCATGGAGATGGCTTCTTTCCTTAAACCTCATGAACAAATCTCTGCTGGCTTCAAACTTTTCTTCTGCAGCTTCCTCGCCTCTTTCAGCCGTCACAGAATTGAGAGACTTAGAGCCTCGCTCTGGATTAGGCTTTGGCTTAAGGGAACATTGTGGCTAGTTTGATCTTCTATCCAGACCCCTATAACTTTCTTCATATGAGCAATAAGGCTGTTTCACTGTCTTATCATTCATTTGTTCACTAGAGTAGCCACTTTTAATTTCCTTCAAGTACTCTTCCTTTGCATTTATAATTCAGCTGTTTGGTGTAAGAGGCCTGGCTTTGAGCCTGTCTCAGCTTTGGACCTGTCTTCCTCACTAAGCTTAATCATTTCTAGCTTTTGATTTAAAGTGAGAGACATGTGACTCTTTTCACTTAAATATGTAGAGACCACTGTAGGGTTATTAATTGGCCTAGAGTAACATCAAAGATCACTGATCACAGATCACCATAACAAATACAATAATGATGAAAAAGTTTGAAATATTGGGAGAATTTCTAACATGTGACACAGAGACATGAAGTGAACAAATGCTGTTGGAAAAACAGCACCAAAAGACCTGCTTGATGCAAGGTTGCCACAAACCTTCAATTTGTAAAAAATACAGTATCTGCAAAACACAATAAAGTGAGGCACAATAAACCAAGGTATGCCTGTAAACTATTTTCATTGTACTATCTGAAAATTCACCTTTAAGATTACTATACATCTTCCTGGAAAAATCAGGATGTAGTCCCTTAAGAATAACTAAAATACTAAGCATATGCATGGGACTAACCTGCAAATGAAAGGTGGTTGACCTCTGACATTAGTGGGGCGGGGGGGGGGGGTAAATCGGAGGGGGAGACAAACCATGAGAGACGATGGACTCTGAAAAACAAACTGGGGGGGGGGGGGTGGGGGGGGGGGGGGGGGTGGTGATGAAAAGGGGCCAATGGAAAGAGGGACTGTATTTCTAGTACCATTGGTACTCCACACAAGACAAAATTGCTTCCAGCTATGAACTCAAGCTCCACACATCACATAGACAACCTCTAACTGTACAAAGCCCCCACAATGCCCCAAGAAACATTATCCATCTTCTCCCTAACTCCAACACAAATACAGAGGCAGCTCTTGACCAAATCAGCACCCTCACTACCAAATCATGTCCCATAAACGCTTCTCCCCAAAAGGGACCAAACTATAACTGTGAAAGTCAAGAGGCTGCCACTGACCACCCACATAAGAGACCTGCCAGGCTACTCACTGAAATCAAGCCAGAAAAGCAATGTCTGATATGCTCAACTTGTCCTAGCACCAACTCAACCAGACTGGGTTTAAGTGAGGACAGTCCTTCCAACAAGGTTTGTTATTCCTAGAATGTATAATAATAAGTAAATAAATTCCTTATCATCTTACTACTCTGTACTTCCCCAGCCCTGGGTTTCCCATCATTAATCACCCAATTCCAGTGAGCCTCCTGGAATCCCCTGTTCCTTGTTAAATTTCTCAAATCCTCACCTTTTTTCCCCCCAAATTGTCTCCTTATCCCAAGATAAACTGAGTTTCCCAAAGGACAGACTTTCCCTGCACTCTCTCCAATGAAGGTCACTAATGCCCCAGTACCAGAAAAAAGCAGGGGAAAAGTGCTGCCTCCCTTTATTTACAGCTCACACTCCTTTTTACTTTACCCTCCTCGCTGCTGCCATCTAGGGACTTCCCAATCACTCCTGGCCATTTGAAAACATCTTTGGCACCTGGCTCACAATCAATCTTCCCTTCAAATGCCACTCCTGCCATCATCCTGGGATTTCAATGTCCTAAATTCCAATGACCTCATCCACCACTCCATTTCAGCTATCCATCCACTTGATAGGACTACCCTCTGGATCCTAAAATCACCCAGGACTCTCTCCCCAGGCCTGCTGCACCATCATTTTCTATTTGCTGTTCTTAAACCTCACAGAGATCTCCACTTCCCTGTCACATTTTCTCCCAACCTGTCAGTCCACTCTGAATTCTCTTCCTTCCTATCCACACTACATTCTTGTACTGATCATGCAAACTACTGTCTCACCATGATGCTCAATTCATCTGCATCCCAATAGTTCTGTCATTATCTACCGGGCAAAACTCTCACCTAGAGCAGTACAGTTAATTCTTCCCTGTTCCTCCACTACTAAAGAAAAAAGGAAAAAAATTAGAGAAGAAGGAAGGGGAAGTGGAGTGGAGAGGGAGAAGATGGGAGGGGGAAGAAGGCAAGAGAAGGGAGGAAGAGGAGGAAGAAAAGGCAGAGGGAAGAGAAAAGAAAATTACATCACCTTGAAGACAGGTAGGCTCTTTAATGGTCTATCAATCATCTTCCTTTCCTCTTCCCCCCGAAGACTACTCTAGACCTTCATAATTCTCTCAAGCTCATGCCACATTCTCAGCAACTCAACTATTTCAGCTGTGATTTCAGCAAAGCATCCACCTGACCCAACTGGGCCACCAGAATCTCAGAATCTCTTGCTTCTTAACCAAATGGCTGAAGGTTAACACAACTTAACACAGATCCACTACCAATTAATACTATTATACTTCCCTATTCTATCCAAAGGTGAGTAACATGATTTTGGAAACACAGGTACATTCATGTGTTTTATTCTTAGGTTTAAACAGGGCTCAGGTAATAAAATGTACAAAGAGATTTGTGGGAAATGTGAACATACAATGGAACCTTTTTAAGGCTCTTTACAGAATTATGTTCAAGATTGCTAACTGTCTAACTACAAAGAACCCAGAATTCTTCTAATTTAGAATTTGTTTGGTAAATCCTTTCCCCATTGGAAATAAAGATATACACAAACAAAATTTTAAGAGGAAATCATTTAAATTCAGAGAAAAGTTCTTAAAACTGTACTTGAGAAGCCTCTATTTAGATAAAACTATATACCAAAGCTAAATATTCTTGTTGTATCACCAAATATTAAGTAAAGGCCCAAAAGCAGAAAGTGTCAAACTTTTTAGGGAATATGAAGAAGCTAAAAAACAGAAAGAGAGAGAGGTCCTTAGTGTAAGAGTCTTTCAGCTTTTGTAAGAAAGACTATGATGTTCATCAAAATAATAATAGCAGTAGCAGCTAATAGTTTCCGATATGCCAGATACTATTCAAAGTTGGGAGGGGGAAGAAGGCAAGAGAAGGGAGGAAGAGGAGGAAGAAACTAATTTAAACCTCAAAACAACCTACGGGATAGCAATATTATTACCGCCTTCTATCGATAAAGAAATTGAGGTACAGGGAGGTTAGGTAACTTACTCTGTGTCGTATAACTGATTCAAGTAAAGCCAAATTTTGGACCCAAGGAATTTAGAAGGCAAGCTCTTAACATAACACGGCGCCCAAAGATTTCTAACTATTCATTAACTTAAGGCAGCGTTTTTCAAAAGTATGGTCCATGTTCTATGTCCTGGATCCCCCCAGACCTTTTCAAGAAGTCTGCATAGTCAAAACTATTTTCGTAATAATACTATGACTTTATTTGCCTTGTCCACTATGTTAACATTTGCACTGAAGGTATCTAAGCAATAGTGGGGAAAAACTGCTAGTGTCTTAGGACAACAGGCAGTGGCACCAAACCAAACCAGCAGTCACTGTACTCTTCAGTGTCAGGCACTCACAGAAAAAAAGAAAGAAATGTCAGAAATTAAAAAAAAAAAATTAAGTAAGCTCTCGGCCCAATGTGGGTCTTGAACTCATGACCCCGAAGTCAAGAGTCACATGCTCTGCAAACTGAGCTAGCCAGGCGCCCCTAGAAATAAAATTTTTGGAAGACTGCTTCCCTGGAGAATGCCCCTAACGAAGCAGTAAAATTTATTACTTTTAATTAGTCACAACCCTTAGGAACACATCTTTTTAATATTCTGTGTGATGAAATGGGAAGGAGCTAGGCATATCTGCCCACTGAAGTACGACAGTTGTTCCTTCGGAATAGCACTTGTGTGCCTCTTTGAGTTGCAAGCTGCGTTAGGTAGTTTTTTCATGGAACATCATTTTTACTTGAAAGAACAACTGACAAACTATGGCTACTAAACTTAGTATTAGGCAGGCATTTTCTAAAAATGAATGAATGAGCCTGTCGTTTTAAGAGAACACAGGGGTCCTGAGATCAAAAGGTTTAAGCATAGCTCATTTAAAGAAATTCTGGACAAGCCTTTCTGGTCCCATTTGAGTTATGATCTATAACTAAAAGGGAATAAAACTGAAGTTCTTTTAAAGTGTCCTTTTAATCGTCTTACTATGTCTTCTCAATCTACAAAATAAGTGAAATATTATTACATACCACTTTCTAAAACTCACACAGGAAAGTCTGTAATCACTTCAAAGTATAAAGTGACTCACAAGATTCTTGTAGATTCTTACTTACCTTCATTTCAATAACAGTTTGCAGAGCTTTTGTTTTGGCAGAATCAGGAGCATTCTCAAATCTCCGATGCATCTCCTATACAAGAGAAGCAAAAAAGAGAGTAAGTGTCCTCCTTTTCACTCGTTTTTTCTTAAAGGGAGGGTAGAGAAGGACGGGGAGAGGGAGTAATTGTGTAAAAAAGATGATTACCCCAGCCTTACAAGACACTCTGATCCCTGTCCACCAGACCTTCCCCAGTGGGTCAGAAAACCCACAGGCTGCATTCAGGCTAAGGAAGTATAAGAGTCAAACATACAGGCATAAAGAGTCCCTGTCAGTGAACACCTATTTAAAATTAGTGACACAGATGAAATCAGTACAACAGATGGAAACTACAACGCAACCCCAGACTGGTGTGTCAGTTTTCCACATAACTCTAAGACATATAAATCAGAACTCCAAACAGTCCAAAAGGGAGATCAGAAATATTCCCTTTTTAAAAGGAGAAATAAAAGCAGTCACAATCAGTCTGCACTGCACAGAGCTACCGAAAGCATTTGTGTTAACCACATCCTTTCTATAGCATCTACCCCAGAGTAACAACCTGGCTACCTGTGATGAAAATCTCTCTCTAGTGGGGTGACAAGTAGAAAGAAAAAAGAAGATAAGGTTGTTCACATCTACAAAATGTCATAAAAACATAACTATTCTTTTTCATCTAAATTTTAGTGAGCTCAGAATCAGGAAGAAAGGAAGCGATGGTAGTAATATCACAATTAGGGTCTTCAAGGGTCACAGTAAAGTTATCAGACCACCTCAGGCTATTTCCTGTGAGATTTTGTGAATGTCCCTGACTTAATCAGTCAACATTTCCAAAGTACCCTGGCATAGCTTCTAGTGATCCTGGAGAATACACAGATGAATATTTTCCATCTGAACTATACTTAACCATAATAAAAGGAATGTGTAATACTTTAATTATACCTTTCACTTAAATTATTCATTCTTGCCTGGCCAGGAAGAATGGTTTGAGAGAAAACAGAAAACAGAACTGCACACTTCACTGAGTTACCTCTTCCTCAAAGAGTAGTGGCACTAACTGACAAAAGTTCTAAATTATAAAGTCAACGGTTTAAAAACCAGTAACTTTTGAACATCCACATTTACCAGTTGGCTGCTGAAACTACAGTGCAAACCACTATTAATATATTTTCTGCTACTTTTCTCCCTAACTCCAGCCTTAAATATTCAACAAGGTATCCCATCTGTACGTTTAACAAATACCTCAAACTCTTCAAGCCCAAGAGTAAACTCTTGGTGGGGCTCTAAAGTCTGCTCCATCCTTCCAGTCACTCAGGTGAAACATCTGAGTCTTAATGCCTTCCTTTTGCTTTCAAGCCACAGTCAATCAGGAAATCCAGTTAACTCTACCTTCAAAATATATCCAAAATGTAAGCACTCCTTGCCATCTCCACTGTTACCACTTGGAGTAAGCTACAAACAAAAATATATCTTTTAAGGGTGCCTGGGTGGTACAGCTGGTTAAGCATCCGACTCCTGGTTTTGGCTCAGGTCGTGATCTCAGCTCTTGTTTGGTTGAATAATGTGCACACCAACCATACAAGGTAGCCCTTCCCCAATCCCACAGATTCAACTACAGTTGACTCTTAAACAACATGGGTTTGAACTGTACTGGTCCACTTATACATGTATTATTTTTTCTTTTTTTTTTAAAGATTTTATTATTTATATTTATTAGAGAGAGAGAGAGAGAGAGAGAGCACAAGCGGGGGGAGGGGCAGAGGGAGAGAGAGAAGCAGACTCCCCGCTGAGCGGGGAGCCCAACACAGGCCTCCATCCCAGGACCCCAGGACCATGACCTGAGCCAAAGGCAGATGCTTAACTGACTGAGCCACCTAGGCGCCCTTATATATATTATTTTTTTAAATAAATATAGTATAGTACTGTAAATGTGTTTTCTCTTATGATTTTTAATACCTTTTTCTTTTCTCTAGCTCACCTAGAGAATACAGTAAGTAATACATATAATATACAAACTATGTGTAAATCAACCATTTATGTTATCAGGAAGGCTTGCAGTCAATAGTAGGTTATTAGTAGTTAAGTTTTGGGAGAGTCAGACAATCTCTGCAGATTTTCGACTATAGAGGGGTCAGCTCCCAACCCCCTCATTGTTCAAAAGTCAACTGTCTTACCTTTCCATGGATAACCTGCAAAATCTATTTATCTAACCTTGTAGTGGACATCTATCACTCTTTCTTGCCATGATATCTAATCTCCCTTTTATGTTTGGGCATTCCACATTTTAAGACAGTCTTCCTTCCACAATAAAAGCTAAAAATGCCACATATTTTTTCCCCAGCCTTTCTTGCAGTTAAAGTCCAGACACAAGACCTCATCTCCACCAGAATCTTTTAACAGAAGACTTGGGGACGTGAATAGTGACAATTCTGGCAATGAGTGGCAGAGGCAGCAGCTACCTCAAGCTCCCAGTCTCAGGAATGGCAGAGGTTCCAAAGGTAGTGAGCAGTGTCGGTAGTGTCAGCCAAACAAGCTGCTGTGTCTGTGCCCTGCACCAAGAGCAGCACTGTCTTCCCCAAACCGATAAAGGAGCATGATGGACTGGAGACTGGTTTTAGCCGTATAACTTCTGTACCCAGTCTCTCCAGCCCTCCTAGAGATTCTGCCCGGATTATAGCAACAGTCTCCCAAAGTTGATCTCCCCAGTAACACAATGGAAGACTGTTGCTTTAATTTAATTATTTTAGTTATTTCTTTCTCTACCTCTCCATTCAAACAATTCATCCACAACACCAATGAATGCCAGGGTGCCAAATCTAGTGGACACCTTTCTGTCGTCATCTTCCTAGAACTTTCAGAGGCATTCAAAGCAGTGGGCCACTCCCTCCTATACACACATTTTCTCTTGACTATTTCGACACCACACTCTCCTATTCTTCTTTCTCTCCAAGTGCTTCTTCTGTTTCTTTTGCAGGTTCTTCCTTCTAAATTAGACCCCTAAATACTACAGTGACCAGGTGACAAGTCCTAAACCCTCTTCTCTTTTCCATCTAAACTCTCTAATCCATAACACTGCTTAAACTTCATCTGAAACACGAGTGAACTCCTAGGCCCTCTGCTCTGATTTCAGACTCATTTATCCAACTGCCCATTTGATATCTCTATTTAGATGTCTAATAGGTAATTTATATTGTCCATAACAAAACTCTTGATTTTTCTCTTCCTTAATCTAGCCCCTCATCTGATGAGTGTGATGAGAGATGAGTCTTCTCCATCTCATTAAATGGCACCACCCTCCCAGTGGTTCAGCCAAACACCAGTGTCTCATTCTTCCCAGATTTTCATTTCCCACAACCAATTCAAACAGGAGGCAGGGATTGTTCCATCTTCAAAATATGTCTTGAATTATTCCACTTCACTCCATTTCCAGTTCAGCTGAACCCTAGATTACTACGACAGCTGTTAGTTTCCTTCCACTTCCTCTGTCCATTCTCAAGAGAGCACCAGGGTAATCTTCACAGAGGATCAACAAATTATGACAGTTTAGTCTGCTTTGAATCCTTCAATGAGTTTCCCATTTACTTCTCACTCTCTACAAAATCAACATGATCTGACCATAATGGATAGAAGACTGGCCCTCCTGTTGTAAACTATTTTAAAATTAGATAAAATGCACGAAGTAACTGTTTTCATACACTGGAAAACAAGCGCATAGGTCTATGATCCTTTGAAAGAAGAGAAACAAACACTGATGGCCCAGACTTGCTATTCAGCATGTGAAGCAAGGAGAGGAAGCCCAAACAGAAGATAGCCGTCATGCAGAACTCAGAAGAAGGATCAATGGATAAGATTCCTAAGACAGCAGAAATGTGTAGAGCAGAATATCACAGAGAAGGAAGGTTATCCATAAAAGCAGCAGTGCCTAATCTGACACAGGTCCCTTTGAGCCTTTGGCCAAACCCTAAGTGTGCATGCACTGGGCAAGACTCCACATGAAACAATTACTAGCGACAGAACAACTATCAGAGAGCTATGAGTTGAGCAACTACCTGAACTCACATGGGGCTGGGAAAAATCCTAGTTCCAAATAGCCAAAGTAAGGAGAACATCAGAGGCATTTAGTAGAGACACCAGAAAAGCCAAGTCTTAGAAGTAAAGCTAATTTAGCCCTGAAAGAGGAAAGGCTATCTTTGTCAACCCTAACAGCGTTTAAAAGCAAGTCTTCTAAAGATCAAGTTAATCCACAATTAAATTAATTTTCACAAGGCAAAACACTTCATTAAGGAAGAGAGTCAAACCCAGAACACACTAATCCAGGACAAAATCCCAACACATTAGTTCAGGCCATAACAATCTCTCACCTACATTAAAACAACAAACTCTTCAGCTTCCTCTGAGCCTCCAGTTTGTCCACATTTAATCTATTCTCCACACTGTAAGCAAGATAATCAATTGGCCACACAGCAGATATTTAATATTTACTCAATAAAATGAGTGTAACACGTTTAAAAGTATAGGCAAAAATAAAATGAATCCTGCTAATTGTAAATTATCTTCATCTATTAATAAAATTCTATCACCTATACTTTTATATTTTTCATTTGGTATTTCTGTATCAACCTGAAAACATTAAAACTGCATTTCTTTGAAATACGTCACAATTCAGATAGTGAACTAATTTTATCCGACTTCTTTCCAAATAAGGTAGATTTCCAAATGTCTTAAGGTTAAACGGTAATAATTTTAAATGCTAGCAAGCATGTAAGCAAAACATAAAGAAAACAAATCCATTTGAACAAAAAAATCGTCCTTTGCTAGGGAACTAGGATGCATTTTAAACCATTCACAGGCAGAAGTTTTCCTATTAAGACATTTCCAAGCCTATCACTTGTAACAAATTTCCATTCAGAGGCCTACACATTAAAACTCATTATGAATACATCTTGCAGTCAGTGAGCTGATAAACTCCCCTTTCCCACTGAGTACATCAAGCCTCTGACTCATGCACGCACTGTTAATAAAGAGAGGAGACAGGAAATAGAAATGAATGTACT